TTGCTAAGTAAGAGAAGGGAAGAGAGAGAGAATGTATAACACAAATGTCCCTTAATAGAAAAATAACCAAAGAATTGCAGCTCATGTGTGCGTGGGTAGATCATTAAAAAACTTTTGGGGTAGGACTGTAGTTATTGCCATGGGAGGAGTGGTGTGTATGGTGTGATATTAAATGATAAGAGCTATTTTTGAAAAAATTTCATGGGCTGGGGAAAGAGAATGGAGAAGGATATAAGAAAAGTCTGCAGCAAAAATAGAAAAACACTTAATGATATCTTATTAAATGAGAAGATAGATGTAAAATTCTATTTCTAGTATTATTATAGGATATCCTGGGGTGTTTTATTGGACATAGAAATGAGGATTATAAAATAATATGGACCAATACAAACATTGATTTGATTAGATGATGAGACTGTAGACAATTCTCATCTTGAATTTCTATGGTCATTTTAATACTATTATTTCAATAAAGAAGGGTCACTTTAAAAAAAAAAGAAAGAAAGAAAAGCTCCTGGGAGTGCTCTCACCTCCTCTACCATCCCCTTCCCACTCAAGGCCCAACCAGGGGCACTTAGAGTTTGTTATAATCAATCCCAAATTGGTCTCTGGCCCTTCAGTCTCTCCTGGTACAGATCGTCCTGCCCCCGGCCAGCAGGTCACTCTCCTGCTCTAGAACCATCCTGCTGCCCCACAGTCCGTCCAAGCAACATGAACTCCTACCTTTGGCTTTGACGGCCCCCAGTAATCTGGCCCCAAATCGGCTCTCCCTTCTCTCAGCACCAGCCCAGAGTCTTGCAGTCATACATGCTTGGAAGAAGAACACCATTTCCAGCAAATCAAAGTAAAAAATGGCAAAGAAAATTTTCCCCTAGTATCATGAAAACTCATTGCTTTAAATGGATTTTTGAAATGTTATCTTTGAAATATCTTAAAAACTCTCAGATTTTTCTAGATTGGCTTTCTGTGTCCTATAAATCCAGATACAGCTTCTGCTCTCAGTTTCTGACAACTAATATATTCCTCCAATTTTATTTTAGAAAGCTGGAGAAAGACACTCAGTTCAAGTATCTAAGTCTATTTAGCAAGCATGTCCAAAATAGCTTTATTGCAGATCAAATCATGTTAAGTATCATAAAATAAATCCTTCCTCCCTATGGGTCTTTGTTGATTAGAGGTCATGAAGAATCTAAGCACCCACCATGGGAAGACCAACACACTCTGCACCATTCACCCCTTGGGGGAATTCTGTCCTTGTCATAGCCTTTGTTTCCCATGGAGACTTGTGCATGGCTCCAACCCCTCCCACACCGGCCTGCCATGCTTCCTTGCTCTGTACCCACCAGATGAGAAGCCTTCACCGGCAAAACTCTTGTCTCAACTTTCTGTGTGTCCTACACAGCTCAAAACCCAGAGCTAGCCAGGTAGTTCTCACTCAGTGAGTGCCCTTTGAATTGATTTGATTTGATATTATTTTATTGATCATTATCACAGTGGAAAAGCATTTATCACATGCCAGAGATGTGCATATTTCTCCAAGAAGTGTGCGTTGGTACAGAGAGTGCTTGTTTGACAGTCAAAACGCACGAGCTCAACTTCTGGGTCTGCTATTGTGCATTGTGAAAACAATCGCGTCACTCTTTGAGCTTTGGTTTCTATGAAGACACTTGTGTTAGTTTTCTATTGCTGCCCTAACAAATCACCACGAACTTAGCAGCTTAAACGAGCATTTCATTGTTATCTGACAGTTCTGCATGCCGGAAGCCCAGCATGGCACGACAGGGCTTGCACGAGGCCGAAATCAAGGTGTCTACGTACGGCATTCTCTTCCGGGGCTCAAGATTCTCTTCCCAGCTCATTCTCATTACTGGCAGAATTCAGTGTCTACAGTGACCTCAGGTCTGAGGTCCCCATTTTCTTAGTGACCATCAGGCAGACACTGCCTTTAGCTCTCATGACCCCTTCATCTCAAAACAGCAACAGCGTGTCGAGTTTTCTTCATGCTTTGAATCTCTCTGACTCCCCCTTCTTCACCCAGCCTGAGAATGTTCTCGGCTTTTAAGAGCTCATGTGATCAGATTAGGCCCATCCAGGTGACGTCCCTATTTTAACGTCATCTGTGTCCTATAACGTAACACTGTATAGCAATATCATCATACAGGCTTCAGTGATTAGGGGGTGACGTCTTAGGAGCCATTCCTAGAAATTCTACCTACGGCAACACAGCAACATGGGGGTTCAATAAGGTTATTGATCAGGCTCTTTCAGATTGAAATTGCCAACTGGCAATCACCTCTGTCGGCACCGTCCGGCATGGCCTCCTGATTTTCCTTTGTCAGACTTCATGCCGTCCCCTCCGTTATCAGCAGACGCTGCCGGACCAGAGCCTCTGCTCTCCTTCCTCGACCATCCAGTCCTTCCTGATCGCTCCCCGCACCCCTGCAGAGCCAGAGTCAGCGCCCTCCCGCCCTCACTTCTACTTTATACTTCAGGCTTTAGCACCACTTGGTGCTAAGCAGTTTTACATTCCTTATTTCTCCTTCCCCCACAAAATTCTGTGAGTTAGGCATGATCATCCCCACTTGGCAGATTAGAAAACTGAGGTTCAGGGAGGTTAAATATCTAGCCCGAGATTGAACAAAGGTTAAGTGGCATGACACAGCCTCTGACCCTCCAGCATGCACGCTCTTCCCACTTCCCACCAACGCAGCGCAGGACCTGGCTGGGGGTGGGGGTGGTTGGGGGAAGGGAGGGGAGAGAGCACCCATTTCCTCTCACCTTGAGCTCCACCTGAAAATGAGCTGGAAATTGAAGCCCCGGTAGTGACTCAGGCAGTTCTGCCTACAGTCTGCAAGGATGGTCGAGTACGACGATTCTGCCGGATAACAGAAGCCCCTTGGCGAAATGTACCCTTTGATTCCACTTCGAATTGGTCAGAGTGGTGAATTATAAGTCTTTTGACTACAAATATTGGGAGCTCATTCCGTGCCCCTGAGAGCATATTTGGAGAGCAATTTGGCAATATCTAGCCAATCTGAGCCGAGCATTCCCCAGACCCAACGATTCCACCCCTGTGCACCTGCCCTAGAGAACTCCCCAGTGTGTACAAAGGGGGTAATTGTCAAAGATGTTGTTGTATTGTTCATAATCAGAAAAATAGAAACGATTTCAGTGTTCATCAGCCATAAGTAAATGGTGATGTGTTCGTGGAATGGGAATACTATGCAGCTGTAAAAATGAATCAGAGCTGTATTAATAAATATCAACACATGATTAGGGCTTCAGCCATTCAGGCAATATTTTATTTCTTAAGCAAGATGATATTCACAGTAATCTCTTTTTAAGGCTTTATTCGTATGTATACTTTTTATGACAACAATTAAACTAACAAATAATAGCCACCAGAACATTCTAACCACAAAATATTAAGTGCAAAAAGCAGGAAACAAAATCTCTCAATTTTGTAAAAAACAGAATAAATCAAGAGAAAAACAAATATAGATTTTTCTAAAAGACCAGCAGATAATACACCAAAGCTGTTAGAAGTCTGAAAATGATTTTTTTTTTTTTTTTTTTCTTTACCCTTTTTTTTTTTTTTTCAGTTTTTTATAGTGAGTGAATATTTTTTTTGGAATCAAAATCAGATATTGCTTTTCTTTAAACACATATTTATTCACCCTGGGCACCGGGGTATGATACGTTTTAGCCTGAAATCAGGAGAATATAAAATTTATTCAAAGGCTACTGCAGGCCATCCGTGTGCTGCCCCTTAAAGGGAACTGTTCACAACAAGCTTGGAGTCCAACAGATCCAAGTTCAAGTCACGGCTCCACCCCTCCCCAGCACCTGACTTGGGTCTCACCTTTCTTACCTGTAAAATGGTAGTAAAATACTTTCCCTGCTTGCCTCATGGGGCCATCGTGCGGGGGAATGAGACGAGGGTCACAGAATGGCTTTGTAGCCCACAGCCAGCCCTTCTGCTAGTGTCACAGGGGCTACCTCATGACAGTCCAGGCTCTAGACACCAGGACGGCAGGGCTGGGCTCCCCAGGGTGCCCACGTGTACAAGCACAGACGGCACCGTCAGCAGACTACGCGGGGGCGTGGGCCATAATGACCCCCGGCTGGGGGAGGTCCAACTGAAGGGAATGATATTGTCACTACATAAATAGGAGGGATAACCTTTGCCCTCAAGCAGCTCAAAATATACTTCTAGAAACCACGCAAACTCATCTCAAACAGCGTACGAACGCACAGAGGAGGAAAAGCACAGCTTGGGTTAGAGTCCCGGCTCCCTGGCTCCCTGGCTCCCTAGGGAGGTGACGATGGATGTGGACAGATGCACAACCTTCCCAGCCCAACTGTCCCGGCCTGTCGTAGGGAGAAGTGCCCACGCCTCGGGAGTCCTGCCGAGAGGACTGCCGGAAGCACCTCCCCTGGATCGGGCAGTGTTCTAGGAGCTGGGGACACAGCAGGGGACCAACCAGGCAAGGCGGCTGCCCTGGTAAATGTAACTTCTAAAGGAGAAAACACAGGGCAGTCGCTCAGACGGAGTCCGACATGGTGCAGCCACTAAATGTCTGTGCTGGTGGCCGGCATGCCTAGTATTATTAGGAAGCTGCATGCAGTAGCCTGAGGAGGCTTAAGGGAGGTAATGAGATCTCCAGATAGTTGAAGTGCTGTTGGAGGGAATGATGAAGGTGCCGTTCACCGAGCACTACTTCTGTAATAACTCACTCAATCTTTGCAGCAACCCAGTGGGGTGGGTACTATTATCACCCCCATTTGACAGGTGAGAAACTGAGGCGCACATCAAGGCAATGGCTTGTCTGGTTGCACACCCATAGTAAAGCCAGGATTTCAAACTGGTTGGTGTGTGCCATTCTACTGTCTCTCTGCAGATTGGTGGATGTCCCAGGCAAGCTGGCCTTAAGAGCAGCTCAGAGCTTCTCCTGGAAGCCGAAATTGCCGACTGAGTGACTTCCTCTTGTCTCTTTCAGGTCACGGCCCCACACTTCCCTGTGGTGATCAAGCTGGGACATGCCCACGCTGGAATGGGAAAGGTATGAGATCAGCCCTCACCTCACAGTGGCTATACTGACAGATTTCCCAGTCTACCTGTCCCCCACCTCTGTCCCCTACCTCAGCACAGGCACGCAGAACAGTGTGTTTAAAAGAACCCACGATACGTCTCCCTCCCTTCCCAACTGTTAGGTTCATCTGAGTGGATGTTCCTGTTCCCCCGGTTCTCAGTGTCAAGAATGAGTATGGCACAGTTGGCACAGTCGAGCCAATGACGAGTGGTCACAAACACAGAGCAACTTAATACAAACAGTTTATCACATAAAAGACAGAATGAAAGTAGAGGAAGCTACACAAAGGGAAGATACTTGCCAGAGAGAGTGAAACGGGTCAGTCTCCAGGAATGGAGAAAGACCCTGAAGGCTGAGCATGTGCTGCCTTTTATAAGCCCTCTGGTTTGTCCTGCCTCTCTGCTGGCGGGATTGGTTGCTGTTTCCCGCCTTTGGGGGTGATTGACAGGTTGGTGTTACATAACACATCACATGACAGGTTATGTAACAGGGTAGGTTATATCACAGTTTCCCTCCTGCCCATGTGTCTTTTCTAGAATTTTCCACAAAGCTCCACCCATGTTATGCTAATTAGATGGTAATGAATTCTAAGTCTGTTAAAGGTTACTAGGAACTTTGAATTATGTGTGTTCCCACCAGGGAACAGTTCCTAGCCGCACTTTGGTTCCTAGCACAATTCAGTTTCCGCTCTCCTCCCTTAGCCACCTCTTTGCCACCTGTTTACCGTCCACCAGACCTAACACAACCACCTTCCTCAGAGCTCCTGTCGCACGGAACATCCCTCCAGCTCAGTCCGTGCTTGGCAAACCCTCCCTGGAATCGCTAGCTAATCATTCTCCATGATCGTGGCTTAAGAGAAGTGGGCGGACAGCATGTTGTAGACCATAAGCTTTTGTAAGGGGTCGCCGTCATCATCCCCACAGCCATGTTGGGAGCTCATGACTTGCTCATCTCTTCACCGCCTGCCCGACTGGCACCTAGAAAAGGGCAATGCACATGGCTCCATGGAAGATACCCATGGAGTCGGTTAGCTTCTACCAAAGTAAATAATGTATTTAACAGTTGCAAATGACGTCCTGACAAACTGTATTGGTCAGACTCGTTCCGTTGCAAATGTCCAAACCCAAATCACATTAAAGAAAAAAAGATAATTCATTGCTTTAAGAGACCAGGATGTCAGGCCGGGCGCGGCAGCTCACGCCTGTAATCCTAGCTCTCTGGGAGGCCGAGGCGGGCAGATTGCTCAAGGTCAGGAGTTCCAAACCAGCCTGAGCAAGAGCGAGACCCCATCTCTACTACAAATAGAAAGAAATTAATTGGCCAACTGATATATATATTGTGCTAGGAACCAATTGTGGCTAGGAACTGTTCCCTGGTGGGAACACACATAATATAAAATTCCTAGTACCTTTAACAGACTTAGAATTCATTACCATCTAATTAAGCCATAACATAGGGGGACTTTGGTGGAAATTTCCTAGAAAGACACATGGGCGCGAGGGTAAACTGTGATAACCTACCGCTGGTTACATACCTGTCATGTGATCGTGTTATAGTAACGACCACACACTGTCACTCACCCAAAGGCGGAACAGCAACCAATCCCCACCACAAAGAGGCGGCGAAAACCAGTGGCTTATAAAAGGCAGCAATGCTCGCCCTTCCAGGGTCTTTCTCCATTCCGTCGGAGA